GTTGTTTGCACTCCTTACATGCTTCTACTTAAAAGGATTAAGTATGTATATTACTTGTAGAAGGGATCTTGAGCATGCAGGCCAGGATGAGTCACTTCTGTTAGAATGTGACATTGGTGGTGGGTTGGTCCTTCAGAGGCAAATAACTATTCCAAAAGATGATCCAAAGGTTATCCAAATTGACTCTAGTGTTGTCGGTCGCAAAGTGGGTGCTGGTTCTGGAGGATATTCGAGGTATGTTCATTCAGCCTTTTTATCTCCCCTTCTCTTTTAGGTTTCTGACTTTCTTTCTAACCAGCTTGTTGAGATTGGTGAACTATAGCAATTGGAGTCCTGGATATGCACGGAATTAGCTTGTATTGATCTTAATGCATTCGGTCAATCAACTAAGATGTCGTCCCATTTTCCATGTTTAGGTTGATTTGCTTGAGAGTACACCCAGTATTCTCCGTCCTGCACCTGACAGATACTTTTGTCTCATTTACCTCTGTTAATGGTTCTAAGCACGAAGTTTGGCCTGAATACGGGCAGAAGTTTTATGAAGGGGATCTTCTGCCTAATGGTAATATTACATCTTCTCTGTCTTTGCAATTTCCACACAACTTGATGTTCAGATTAAATACAAAAGCCCTTTGTCAATTGGAAAAATGAGAGAGCTCCGAGATGCGGATCCTCCCAATAAGTGCCTAGGCTGCTTTGCATCTTCCATTCACTTGTCTCTCTTAATCAACATGGAACCTATCATGAAACCAGTCCCAGAGTCTGAACTAGAATGCATATTCTATGATGTTTCTTGGCTTGGGACTCAATTAATTATTCATTGTGTTTTTTGACTAAAGGTGAATGGATGCTTGTTGACAAATGCCTTGGTTTGGGACTTGTCAACCGATTTAATGTTGGTGAGGTATACAAGTGCTTTATTGACTGGGGAGCGGGGACAGTTAGCTTGGGGATGTGGTCTGAGGAGCGGCCCGTTTCAAAACAATCGCCTCTCAAAATTTCCCACAAGTATGAGGTGAGAAAGATCTCCTAGGCACTCTGTATCAGTATTCTCTGCAAGATATTCTGGTATGGTTTGGAACTGGTGATGCTGAAGGGAAGCCGTTCTTTCCAGCACATTTCTGTGATGTTTCAGTTTAAAACTATGAAGTTTTAGAGACCACCTCAAATCTGCAAGGAAATAAGCAGCAATAATTTTTCTTAAATTAGATGGAATGGCCCTTCCAAGGGGACCTATATATTGAACTTTATCAAAGTTTTTCTCTGCTTTGATTCAATAAAGAAGAATTGGCCAAAAAAAATTCAACGAAGAAATCATAAACTAATCTGAGAATTGACACCCAACTTCAATTTCTTCTACTTTCAAAACTACCCACATCACATAGAAAACAATGCTTCTTCGATCATCGGGCCATGATTTTTCTTCTTAATCATAGACAAATGACAATCTCAACCAATTCAATTTCAAGACAGTCATGGACTAGAGTATGACAAGACACCATCAACAATGATGATAAGAAATTGAAGATTAGTTGCAATGAACAATTCCAAGATTCATTGGAAAGCAAGGTAGGATATTATTGATCTCCAACAAGCATAATTGAGTTAACATTTGTTAACTCCTGTAAGTCCTTTAACAAAGAAAGAGGTCCATGAGCAGACACCACTTTATGTATGTACATATCAAAACTTAGAGTAAACAATAAACCAATATCAGCACCACCTTTTTGAACACTACTTATTTGTAGGTCTACTAAAAGCATCTGGATTTGATTCACTTCCTCATCAGAAGAGGCTAGTCCCAAGTATTCAAGATCAATGATACCCGAGTGGAGCAGGAGTTTCCTTCAGTTCCCGTCCCTGGTAATGTATGTCCTGCAAAGTCATTCAAAAACACACACCAATGTCTCAGACAGAACAGTTTGAAAGAGGATCTAATCTATTGAAATGATTCGATTGCTCCTTACCGATGCAAAGTGGTTGACATCACGGTGATGTGCCTCATCTGCCCTCACAATCATCACAACATCACGGAGAGTAGAGTTAGCAGGCAAGCGCCAGTAATCAATGGCAATTGCAGGAGCAGGGACGTTCTCTATATTGCCCTTGTCCAGCTCCTTGAGGAACTCAGTGTAAGAGTGAATTGCTTCTTCCTCAAGGTACCCCACCATCCGGTGAGCAAATTTGGGCGAAATGATATACCCCAGAAAGTAAGCATTGAAGAATACACCTTGGACTGCAAATACAAGTGCACGCTCATACCACCTTGGCTGGGCCACCTCCATAAACGTCATCAGATGCATACGCTCATTCTCAGCTTCTTCCAACAGAGCTTTGATCCAGCCACCACTGTGCTCAAATCGCCTCAATGATTTGCAATGAAGCAGCATGCCCCCCACCATTCCGGGGACAGCCGCCACCGTTTCCAGCATCATTGCCCGGCAACCATATCTCCTCTGTAAAATACAAATAGGTATTTGATGAGTTGAATTTATATATATATAGATATATTAATATGAAATTTTTGCCTAAATATTATGGATGAATTTTATGAGAGTTTACATGGTTTTCATTCTTTGTGCATAAAAGAACTTGATTGCATAATAATAAGAGTTTGTGGGATTAATTGAATATCTTTTGAAAGTTGAGTGACTAAATTGCAAGAAAAAAAAATGCTTCTTTAGGACCTAAAGTTTATTTTGATTGTTCAAATAAATTTAAATTAATTATTTTAATACTTAATTAGATACAATTCTCATAAGTTTTACATTCTATTCATCTTATTAGTATACTTGTTAAAGTAATTTTAGTGCATAAGTATTAAAAATAAATTCAAATTAAACCGGCGGATCCAATCGTTAGCCCCAGGCGTCCAAATTCTATTGTATTTTGGCAGTCAAGTGTAAAAAATTCAAAGTCAATATTCATGGTCACCCAATGTTCCAGTTTCCAAGAAACCCTCCAATATTTCAGGAAAACTAACATTTCGTACGATCCAAGTTAAAGCGTTTGTCATAAAGAAAAAGCATCCAAAAGTTCCCGGCCGATCACCGGAGAGAAATTACCTGGAAGAAGATATCAGTAGGCCACCGGAGCACTTTGACAGTCCAAAAAGCCAGTTTGTCCATCAAGGTAACAGGCACATGGTGCTTCTTCAGATCTATGGACGTGTTTGATTCATAAGTCTCCCATGGCTGAAACGCGAAACCATTAACAAATTAAATTTCATGTTAAACAATTTCCTAAACATTGATCTAACATTTTGACATACAGATCTGATGAGGATCAAGGTATAAGCGAGAGAGAGTCGTTCGTACCCTAAAGCAGCTCCACCTCCACTCGGTACCATCGTCTTTCTTGACCTTACCGGGCTGGATGCCCCAGTAACTAACCACCGTCTTCTCGTCCTTACCACCGCTACCACCAGCAGCCAAGCCCGACACCACCGGCTTTTCCTCCTGCCGTTCCTTATCACCTAATGCCAAGGTGCTTTCGTACCGCAAACCGACGACCGGGGCCCTGATCCAAGCAGTGGCGACTTCGTCAGACAGGGTACGGACGGTTGCAGCAGAGAAGCAGCGGCCACCGACCGCTGCCATGAGGGAGCTCGTCAACCTGGTTCCACCACGGCTCATCATGTCGATTCCTGCACCAATAAAAAAAAAGAAAAAAAGAAAGAGATCTACTGATCGATCGGAAGAAATTCAGGAGGAGGTTTCTGGGTTTTCAGTTTCTTTGCTTTTCTTGATCACGAGCGCACTGTGCTGAGGGTTTTAGGAGGGTTTTTATAATGGCCGCGTTTTGGCTCAGACGTGGACGATTGATATGGGTTTTGCTTTGCTGACGTGTGCACTCGCCAGGCCAGAGACAGCTTTGTCCATGCAAAGACAGTTATATCCTCTGTTATAATAAAAAAATATTTTATAATGAAAAATATTTGCCCAGAGTAGTATTTATTATTATAATAAAAAATATTTTATAATCTGAATTAAAATATAAAGTATAAAATATAAAATATTATATGATAATGAATTTTTTAATATTAGAGATTTTTATTCTATTTAATGATTTGTATTTATAATTTAGTATAGTTTAAATTATAAATAACAAATTCATAATTACCTTTTTTTAAAAATAAAATTCAACAAAGAAAAATCAAATCACCTTTTCTCAATAATGTGATAAATGTGATTTAAGTTGAATATATATTATATCTCACTTAGTTTACAAATGTTTTGTATAATTAGAATTATAAATAGTTTTGAATTGTGACCACGGATCTTGTATAACCATTTATTATTAAATGTTTTCTCAAAAAACTTGCTAAAATGGAAAAACAAATGAGGGGCATCATTGTAAATGAAGATAGGATATTTTTGAAATATTAAAGTCTTTTGGTAAAAGGGTATTTCTGGAACATGGGCTGGAATGGAGGTTGCGGTCAATATCAAATACATTGATTTCTTGGGGAGCAAGTTCATGAAAGTTGCGTGGTGAGAAAAACCATTGGAATATTCGAAAGAAATCTTTATCTGGACGACTGGACTAGACTCTTTTTCCAAGTTAATAAATTGTTTGGCTCGAAGAGCATATATAGTAAAATTTATGGGTGTTTTAATTTTTTGATATTATTTATATTTTATAAATTTAAATATTTTTTTTTTTCATTTTTTTATTTTTTTTATTTTTCTTAATTTAAAAAAAATTTTAAACAATAAATTTTAAAAAATTTTATTTTAAAGAGTTTTAAACTTTTATTTTTTTATAAATTTTTTTATTCACTTCTTATTTCTTATTAGTTTAAAAAAACTTTTTAAAATTTTCTTTCAATAAAAATTTAAAATTATAATTTATAATAATATTAGAAAAATAAAAACTCCAATAAACTCCAAATAAGTCCTAAATTTTGTTAAGAGCTGACCTTACATGAATTTTAATATATTTTACCATTCAGAACCAAGTAAAGATGATGCCATTTGTTGAAAAAACAAAAACATGACATGGGAGGAAGGGAAATGGAAGTAGCCAACGTAAGGCATGTGCCAGCTACCAATAACAAGAATGTAAAGCCTTTTTTAACGAAGGATTCCAAAAATGATGGAATCCAACTAATTAGGGTTTTGTTACTCTTTATTTCAACTTGGCACATGCATATTAGTTATGATAATCAAGGTGTAGGGAAGGTCTTAAAGTTCTAATGAAGTTTTATTTTATTTTATTTTATTTTATGTTTTTTTGCTTAGGACCCATGATCAAAAGTATGATATTTTTTCTTTATTATTTTTATTTTTCTTCATAGGAAAAACTACATTGGTAGGAAGAAATAACATATATATAGACACAAACTTGCACATAAAAAATATTAAAAAAAAAACTCACACGCTTATATACATAATAGAGTAAAAAATGAGACAAATAAATATTTGTTTTTTTGTGGTCAAGAAGAAACACTCCATGCCATGATTTAATGATACCCAATAGGAGCAGGTGCCTCCTTCAGCTCCATTCCTTGACATTGAATATCCTACAAATCCAACAACAATCTCAAATTAGGCATAATAGAAATAATAAAAAAATCATATATTGTCTAATTTATATTAAATTACATAATTTTAATTATTAATGAAGAAATTTGTTGACACTTGACCATTGATATTTCAAATCTAGTGACATTAACCATATTAAATAAGTGCACTCTTTTTTTTTGGACAGGTTCAATCATGTTCCATGTTAAATTATTCAAAAAAAAAGAAAAGAAATTCTTTGAATTTGATTTCTCAATTCATGTTTCTATCCGAACTGTTAAAAAAACACTCTAAAAATAAATGAATTACTAAAGATATAATTTGAAATGTATAAAAAAATCTCACCGAAGCATAGTGGTTAATGTCTCGGTGATGTGCTTCGTCCGCCCTTATGACCACGATCACATCTCGGAGCGTGGCATTGGCTGGCAGCCGCCAGTAATCGATCGCGATGGCCGGGGCCGGAGCATTCTCGAAGCTGCCATTGTCTAAGTCCTTGAGGAACTCGGTGTAGGCGTTGACGGCCTCTTCTTCCAGGTACCCTGTGATACGGTGAGCCAGCTTGGGCGAGACCACGTACGTAAGGAAGTAGAAGTTGAAGAAGAAGCCTTGCACTGCGAACACCAAGGCCCGTTCGTACCACTTGGGCTGGGATATGTCTATGAAGGTCATCAGATGCATCCTCTCATTCTCCGCTTCTTCCAACAGTGCCTTTATCCAGCCACCACTGTGCTCGAAACGCCGGAGGGATTTGCAGTGCAGGAGCATTCCTCCAACCATGCCTGGAACCGCTGCCACTGTCTCTAGCAACATGGCGTGAGACATATGCCGTCTCTGTGGTACCAAGAATCACAAATTAAAGGACTAAACGTCTAAACCAATTTACTGTATTACAATTTTAAAAGTTACACAAGGTAGAATTCGAACCTGAAACTCAATTAATGTGTCAAAAGTCGTACCTGGAAGAACAAGTAAGTAGGATATTTGAGCACTTGGACGGTCCAATAAGCAAATTTATCCATGAAATTAGCTGGGTGATGGTGTTTCATTACATCAATAGAGGTGTCAGCTTTGTATGATTCCCATGGCTGTCAAGTAAAAAGAACATAGGGTATGTCAAAATTGCCTTCTGTCAATTGAAAAAAAAAAAGATGATAAAAATTCTGAAGAGTTAATTAATGCAGTGTATATATACAATACCCTGAAGCAGTTCCAGGGCCAGGCAGAGCCATCCTCCCTGGTGAACTTAGGGGGAGTCACACCCCAGTAGCTCACAACTGCCTTGGCATCTTGATGACTGTGAGTTTTCCGGCTTTCGCTTGTCTTCTGCAGTGGGAGGCGAAGAACTCAAATATCTGAAGCCTGCAACAGTAGCAGGGCTCAGAGCGGTGAAGATCTTGGTGGATGCAGTACGGTGAGGGGCCAAGTAATGGTTGAAAACCAACCTGGACATTTTTGTTGCAGCACTCGTACTACTCATTATAAGAATTGGAAGCAATTTGAGTGTTGGATATTTTGGTAGGTATGGTTGTGTGGAGGCACAGGGAAATGATGGGTACCATTTATATGGGAGGGACTCTTGTGATCCCCGCGTACTAAAAACAGGGGAAAGAGCGAGGAAGGGAGACTGGGATGGGTCTCGTCGCCAAATTTGACTGGTCTCCCCAAGGAAAGGATTGGTTGTATTGTATACTCTTTTTTCTTTTGGGATCATTGAAGAGTCGGACCTTTCAGATATGGGGTTAGAATTGCAATGGACCGTTGGCTATTATTATTATTAATCAATACAATTGGAGGAATTTGGTACGGAAATTGTGCTTGAATTTTAGACCATTAAGTGCTGCCACTCTTCTCAAAGATATTTTGATTATTTGGTCACAATAGAGGTTGGCTGTTCAATTATTAATTAAAGGGTTTTATTTAAGGTACATATTAAAAATATTTTTTA